TAGAATAACTGGTTATGCTGCCTCCACACCGAAAGCATATGCACAGACCAAACTTCCAGTATACCAAATAAGGGTGCAAAGGGGAAGCCAGCTTGGTGTAGTGGTTACATGCGTGGACCCTAATCTGGGAGAACTGGGTTTGATTCCCCACGCCTCCACTTGCAGCTTCTGGATGACCTTGGGCAAGCCATAGTTTTGTCAGAGCTGTCCTTGAAAGGGCAGTTCTTGAAAGAGCTCTCTCAGCCCCACCTACCTCACAGGGTGTCTGTTGTGGGGAAGGTTTTATTTTAATTTCAGACATGTTACAAATCTCAGCAATGTGAATGAGCATGCAATGGCAAAGTAGCTCCAGTGGTTCTTAAATGGAATGGATGTTGTAAGCTGAGATTCAAGCCAGAGTTTTGAAGAGACTGCTTCGGTAGCCCCAGTGGGTGATGTTCTCCTACAGTTTAACAGCCTCTGTGATTTCAACATAATTGATCATTTATTTATATGTGTTATTTATAGTCTGCCTTTCTCACTTGGACTCAAGGCAGATTACACAAAGTGAGTCAGTACAATCAATGAATGGGACATTCAATAGATAATCCAATAGGGTTAGGATTGTAAAACCAACCGCAAGTCCAAAAACTGGACTGAAGCAAAGCGTAAGTATTAACAAAGCACATTAAATGATGCAAAAATTACGCAGTAGGATCCTAGTTTCAGCAAAATACACAGGAGTATGCTTCACAAGACATAATAATTTTTCCAAATAACTTTGTGAATCAGTTAGTACAGGGCAACTCTATTGCCTGCACAGAAAAGCCCTCTTGAATCATTCAGTTTTGCATAGTTTGCAGAAAGCCAGGAGGGTGGTAGCCTTCCTGACCTTCTCAGGCGGGCTGTTCCACAAGGTGAGGGCAGATATGGGGGCAGCCAGTGAAGTGCCTGCAAGATGGGAGTAATACACATGCTCCATCTACTTCTAAGTGGGTGTGAATAATTTGGGATGGGGGCATTGTTCTTCTGTATTTTCTCTCCTTCCTAGCTGACCCTTGCAAAAGGCAGTACTGAGAGATAAATGCTCTGCCTCATGATTTCCTCCCAAAACTACATGGTATCCCCTCCCTCAAATCGCTCCTCAAAACCCATCTTTTCTTTGCAGCATTTAGCAGAACTCTTTAATCCTCATCCCCAAACAAAACCTATATAACCTTCATTGTTCACATTCATCCCTTCTTAATTGTCACTTCTTCCATCCCTCCTCCTGCTTTGTTGCCTGTCCTATTGATAAAGTTTCAGTTGTTGTTGTTCTAACGGGGTTTGCTTATATTACTCTGAACACACCATGTACATTGAAAGCACTACATAAATAATGTTAGATTTTGAAGCAATCAAGAATAAAAGTATTTTAAGTTCGCTCTGCATCTGATTGTATTTCCAGATACTTAGTGTCTTTGAACAGAAGTTGCTGAGAGTTTTAAACAAACAATGGCAATAAAGAGTATCTTCGTCTATTCTGCAGAACTGGAGAAAGAGTCAGCAAAGTGAGGTGTGTTTGCTTTTCTCATCCTTGTTTAGAATAACTGAAGTTATGCTGCCACACTGAAAGCATATGCACAGACCAAACTTCCAGTATACCAAATAAGGGTGCAAAGGGGAAGCCAGCTTGGTGTAGTGGTTACATGCGTGGACCCTAATCTGGGAGAACTGGGTTTGATTCCCCACGCCTCCACTTGCAGCTTCTGGATGACCTTGGGCAAGCCATAGTTTTGTCAGAGCTGTCCTTGAAAGGGCAGTTCTTGAAAGAGCTCTCTCAGCCCCACCTACCTCACAGGGTGTCTGTTGTGGGGAAGGGAAGGGGAAGGAGTTTGTAAGCTGCTCTGAGACTCTGAGTGAAGGGTGGGGTATAAATCCAATCTCCTCCTCCTCTTCTTCTTCTTCTTCTTCTTCTTCTTCTTCTTCTTCTTCTTCTTCTTCTTCTTCTTCTTCTTCTTCTTCTTCTTCTTCTTCTTCTTCTCCTCCTCCTTCTCCTTCTTCTTCTTCATCATCATTTGTAACCTTTAAAACATTATAGGCTGTCCTAAGTTCTATACGCACTATTTGTATCAATCAACATTTATTCCATGCAAGTAATACAAAAGATGCTACAGAGCTGAGCAGTCTTAGAAAGAAAGGAAGAGACGCTCCTAACGCAGAAGAGGTTTTCTTAGGGAAACTTACACAAACCAATTTATGCATTACATA